GATGAGACTAAAACTACATCATATCACTTGTTAACACACACTGATAAACAAAACCAGAACCAGCTACAGCTTTGAATTGAATCAGATTCACAATGACACACAAAGGTGCAAAAAACATCTGCTGCACCCACTTATCCTTAGATGATCACAGCTGGCACACAAATGTTTTTCTATAAACTTTTTTTTTTCAAGTCAGTGTATTTTGGGCTGGAAAGAACAAACCAGATAGGTTTACTGCTAGGCCCAATGCTGAGCACACATCAAACAATTGGTGCTGTTTGTCTGCAGACAGAAATCCACAACTGGATGCCAAATATATAAATAGTACAATAGTAATAGTGCTTGTAATGCCTTACAAAATGTGAAAAAAAAAGAAAAGATTAGATTAAGCCAAGAATTAGTCTTAAACATCCACATTAAGGGTAACTTATTACCATTAAGACTCAAAAAATCTTAAAGTGAGAAACAAAATCTGCACTTTTTCCCCTTATATTGAGGATTAAGGTGTTTCTAAATTAAAAAAAAATCCAAATTTGTGAACAAATGCCAACTGTTTGTTTAGCTATAGCAATGTGACTGAAAATAGATGGTTAAGTTAATGGAAGGGCTCTTTGAGACCAAAAAGTCCAAAAAAGTAGATGTATTTACAGTATGCTCAGGTTTGTAGAAAGGTTGTTAAAAAAATCTAAATACGAATAGACTTGGAAAAAGACGTGCATTTCACTCGTTTTTTGAAAAATATAACCAATTACAGAAATTTGTGCAGCTGCTATGAAATGTCGCTTTTCAAGTTTTTCAGACTAAAATTTGTTGTCGTCTCCTGTGATTTCACAGCAGATTTGAACTTATATTTCCATATAAATGTTTGCATTGAGCGAATACAGCATTTCAGGACTGCATTGCTGGAAAACTACCATAAAATTATCTTGCAAATAACTTTTCATGTCGTATTTTATAGTTCACAAAAGTCAGTCAAATGAGATATGTTTATCTTGGAAAAAGTTTGTATTTTGTAGGTTTTCATTCAAATGTAAAAGGTTTTAAACTCAAAGGTTGGAAGCCAGAAGGAAGCTACTGGTCCACTGCCTTTAATGAACACTCTTGGGTACTGAATGAAACATAAGTAAATACCAAAAGTTTTATTTTTTATTTTATTTTATTTTATTTTCCTTTTTATAATATCTGTTCCTCAGCAAATCCACAAACATATGTGTTCTGATGTATGGAGGGTTGTTAAGACTGCTAAGCTTGCATTTGAAGTAAGCTAGTTTGTAAAGTTAATGATTTGGCCAAGTTGGCAGGGCAGATAGAACCAGGAAAATGTGTTTTTTTTTTTTATTTAAAGCAGACAAACATAAATTCTGCTGCTGCGTTTGTTCCCAGATGACTGAAATGTTTTGATTAAGCTCCATTTTCTTTAAGACTTTTGAAAAGCCCGGGCTGCTATTGGTCTTTTAATTGGTCAAGCGATAAATGAACATAGTTATATGCATATGCTTCAGCTATAAGCTGGAGCTTATTATTTCTTTCTGTGTGAGCCAAGCTTGTTTATTTTCAGATAAAATGACTTTTGTATGCATGGTCTTTGTGTTTCCCAGCCTCCCACACCTTTCACTTTAACACAGAAACACTGTAAGAATGCTAGCACAGATTGCAGTAATTACGAGAGAAATAAAATATGAAGAATGACAGAAGGAAAAAGTACTAATGAAACCAAACGTGTTTTTTTTTTTTTTTACAAAAACATACAGTATCCCATAAAAAAGCACTTTATGTGAAACAGGAGAAAACTTTATAACATGCCTTAAGTTTGGGCATGTTTTATTTTGTGTGACTACATGAAATGCCCAGGTGTAATTTAATTAATTATTTAAAGCCACATTTCCTTAATGTCAGTAGTAGTTGTTTGGACCTGGGATTGTGCAGAGATTTATCACTGCAAACCTTAATGAGACTAAGATTCTGTTGATGCAATTTATTATTTCTGTGTTTCCCTGTGTGTAGTACGACTGATGTAAACATGGGTCTATCTGTATTATTTTGTAATCCTGACAGCAGATGCTGTTGTCATTGAGTACCAAGGAATGTGTTTAAATATTTAATTAAGAAAGAAGATGTAAACACATTAACTACAAGCTGTGCTTCGTTTGTGATCTCATTAGGAAATAAGACTTCTACTGCCCTTTATGGCGGAGTGCTTTCCATATAAACCATAACATGGAAAGCAGCAAGCATCTCTTTTATTTATTTTTGTACCGTGGTTGCATGTCTGACATGACAATATAATCAAAAGACGAGCGCAAAGTTTGATGCAGAAAAGTTTATTCTTTAAACAAGAAACAATCCTGAGCTCAGTCCAGACCAGACTAAAATTACGGTTTGTGTGTCTTGTTTTAGGGTGTATTCACACCAGCTCTGTTTAGTCCGCTTTAATCTAGTTTGTTTGCCTGGAAAGTCTGGTTCTTTTGGGGAGGTGTAAACACATAATCTAACACTGATACAGACCAAAAAAAATAAAAAATAAAAACTCTGGTCCGCCTGAAAACGTAGGGATCGGTTCAAATGAAGTGAACTCTGGTGCAGTTCGATTGTGAACGCCAAGCAGACCGGAGACCACTCCAAAAGCAGGAACCGGACTATAACGCAGGGCATTTTGAGTAATAACATTAATATAGTTACTCATATCTTGTAAATACATTGCTGGATGTCCGTGTAAGGTGGACATTACTGCTGTGAAGTTGAATGTGCTCCTTCTCGGTGAACGCTGCCTCATATGGAGCCGTCTCCAACTATTTGTTAGGCACATTTGCCAAAACCAGAAAATAAATCCTACAACCACTAAACTCTGACGTTACTCCATGTTTGTTTACATTTTGTGAAGAAGGAGGTTGTGCTCCATGTTTTCTGAGGTTTTCATGTTGATTCCTTCATTGGTTCTTGGTGCAGCGCCACCACAAGCGGGGTGGGGGGGTGGGGGATCCACAGGTTTTAGTTTGTTTGACAAAGTGCCGTGTGAATGTGAACCGCACCAACTGAAAATTTAAACAAATCTTGCAATTTTGGTCCCCAATTGAACCGAGTCTACCAGACTATCAGGTGTGAATACGACCTTATACACAAAACCTTCTACATACAGTACTACAGAAACTACAGAAAAAAGAAAATTCCTAGTAAAAAAAATAAAATCTCATCTAAACTAGTCTTTTCACTAGTTTCCACCTTGTCAAATGTCCACATACTTTTTTTTACGATTTTTTTTCTTAATCTTTTACATGCAATGTTACTTTTATGAATACTTCAAGGTTGTGTTGATTGCATTCAATGTACTGTTGTCCTGAGGGAAAAGCACATGTGTTTAGTTGTATTGTTTTGGAATACCCTTAAAACTACCTGAAAAATGTTATGCTCTTTTCTCTTGCATTATTCTCCAAATGAAAATGAGCTGCATCATTAATATTTTGCATTTACACACTGCTGCCCCCCTGCTCCCCTCTGCAGGGGTCACCACAAAGAGCAAACTCACATAAGCACATAAGGCTTTTTAAATGTGTTGTGATTTTTGTAATAATGACTCAAAATGGGACTTTTGGTGTCCATAAGCACAAGTAAATTTTGTCTCTTGAAAAGATGTGAGATACGTTGGCAGTTTGGTCTGATTAAAAATAAATAGGAAACTGCTTCTGACTAATTTGTTTGGTCCATAGTTGTATAAAATAAATGTTTTGTGTTGCCAATGAGCGTCACATAAATTAGAACTCATGTAGTAGCTCATGTCAGTAGTTATCAAAATGCCAAAATTGACATGCTGAGGTTGGTAGCATTTATTTGTTTGTTTTTTAGATTCATCAAAGAGAAAAAATGTGTTTTACACGTTCAATCTAAGCATTAAGTGTTAACGTTTGCTTTGCTGTCAAAATTGATTCCATTTTACTTCTGTATCAGCTCCCAAGAAAACTGTTGAGGAACAGATTCTGTTGACTTCAACCTTGTTATTTGAATAGGGAAAGCAAATGGGCTAAAGAAGAGGAACTCCTCTAAGGGTGTCGAGGACAGGCCACATAGATGCTTAAAAATACATAAATCATTTTGGTCCAAGCACCTTTACAGGTTCTTTGAGCCGCAACCTGAATCGGGCCGATTAAGTTTAGTAATCAATATGTTTTCTGTGAGAATAAGCCACGGTAATCTTTTTACAGCACCTTTCCTCACACTCGTTCCTCTCATCCTCTGCCTTTGCAGCCTTGGCTCTAACCAAAGGGCTGTGATTGCTTCTAGAAGGCTTTGTGAAAAATGGATAAAAGATTGATGCCATGAATAGTGAAACTACCCCCATCCCACCCTCTTGACTTTCTATGGCGTGAGGACTAAACCGTAAAACCTGGTCTCATGAAAGTGGATTAGCAGAAATGGGTTACAACTCCTCGCCTTCTCTCAGAATGCAGCCCAGTAGTCTGCTGCTGGGTGAAAGACGAGTGCACGTCGAGCACAGCCAACTCTGACACACCCAGGACAATCCCTCACACTCATTAATAGGGTCAGATTAGAACCATCAGTCAACTGAATGTGTATATTTTTGGATAGTGTGGGGAAGCTGAAAATGAAACCTGCACAGACAAAATTATAAATGATAGATTTCGATTATCTACTATTTTGGGGACTGATAATGAACTCTCTAATTCTGTCATTTATAAATGAAACACATAACAAGAAATTAAACATTTTCTGTATTTTACACATTTCTTTATTAACTCAATGAGAAAATATCAAAAACACCTCATCGTTTCGAAAAAGAAATCTCCAAATCCCGTTTTTTCAATGATATTGGAGACCAGAAACTGAACCATAGACTAGAACATGTCTGAACTGCAAATGCCAATGGCTGTTGTTTCCATGGAGTTCAGAATATGTGGCTGCTGCACTGACTGAAAAATGTAACATTCATATTTATTTAAAAGTAAAGGTCGTTTCTGTCTTAGTTATATAATTTTTTTCTACCTTAGGGATAACAACTTCATTAAGGACTTTCCTCAGCTAGCTGACGGTCTCATGGTCATCCCTTTACCAGTGGAGGAACAGTGTCGAGGGATCTTGTCAGAACCATTACCCAACCTGCAGCTCCTATCAGGTCAGAACATTTAAGGAACTTTTGGACATGTTTCCTTTCCCTGTTATGAGTTCTTTTAAATGACTGTAAAATTTATTTGACTTTATTGGCCACAAAATTGATGGATTTCTATTAGTCAGTCACAGTTGATGGCTTGACGATGGGCTCATAAGAAAATATGGTACTTGTTTTAATGTCATTTTATTCAGATGAGTATTAACGTAGTGTAATATGTATTTGGCATTAACATTTCTGCCATAGCAGATGGTAAACTTGTGACAGTGTTTTGTTAAAATTGATTTAGTTATTTTTATTTTTTTTTTTTTTACATTTTAAGTTGTATTTATGTGTTATTCTGGACTTACACCACTGCACACCATACCCACTGATGTGAAGGGCAGCAGCAAAGGTCCTATTAATATCGACCCAAACTGGTTTTATACATTTATCTGGCATTTTGTTTTTTGGATTGTGTAACCATGAAGGAAAAAAGTAAAGTTTCTTAAATGTTACCAGACTTCATCATCTTTTTATCAAGTTATACTTTTAGTTTTAACTGTTCCACTCAACAAACAACAAACTCAATCAGACCTGTTTCAAAATCCTTACTTTCACCTCTGCTCCTTTATCTCTCCATTAGCTAAATTGCCATTTGTTCCACATTGACCCTAGAGATTTTTTTCCAGGCGTCTCCTTTCAACCACACACAAACGTTGACTGAAATAAAATCCCACCCCAACACCCCTACTCCCCTTTGCATGAATGTCTCAGGTGTAAAAGATCAAGGTTCCTGTAAGCAAATTATTTATTTGTTTTCCCTTGCTCTTCACTTCTGCGGCTCTCGTTTTAAACTGGTGTCAAAGTTCGGTAATTGAATTGCGCAGAGAGCCAAGATTGCTCGCACTTCTAATGTCAGCAATCCAATTGGAGTTCAAGCAGCGCTATATATCACCATTGATCTGGGAGCAGCTGGACTACGGGCTGTGATGATAAATGATGCCAAGGCAATAATGGCTGTGCAATAAACCGTAATGATGAAAATGAAATGATGGATTTTATTTACCTTTCTTATTTATTACGAATTTCTGCTTCTGTGCTACTCAGACCTTGTAAGCTGTTCAAAGTAGATGTACTTGTTTTTGTCTGAGATTTGTACCTGTTGCTTTTACTTTATCCTGCCTTTGTTAGGTGATGCCCAGTTCAGTGAAGCAGTAGGCTACCCCATGGTCCAACAGTGGAGAGTTCGCAGCAATCTGTACAAAGTTAAACTCAGCTCTATCACCTTATCCACAGGTAGAATGGAAATGAAAAAAAAAGAGTTTTCATTGATTTATCTGAAGATCTACATTGATTATAACGTAAATAAATGTGATATTTTCATATAACCACAGTAACTGAATTCATAGATTATGACACTTGTACTATTTAAGACACCTTAAATGAGACGTCGGTTCAAAATTTGTCCTCCACATCCTTCCAGACATATATTTAATTATTTTTTCATCCCATTGTTGACTTGATAGACTTCTCTAAGGTGCTGAAAACGCTGTCAGGAGAGAGCACCCGTGAGGAGCTCCTGGCTTTTCTCCAGGAATACGGCAGCCATTATGTGTCTGAGGCTCTGTATGGCTCAGAGCTCAGCTGCAGCATCTACTTCCCCAGCAAGAAGGCCCAGCAGCAGCTCTGGCTGCAGTACCAGAAAGGTGAGTTTTGCCTAAACACTACAAGAAAGGTTCAAATTGCATGTGTGCTGAGTTTATGGGTAGGTGTACAGCACGCTGAGCAGCAGACACAATTTCATCCATGTTGAGTCTAAACATAACGCCCCATGTAGACCTTTGGCTGTGTGTCAAAATAAGACAAAACCATCAATCTCCATTCATTTGGGAGCTGAAAAGGGAGATAATAGTGGTAAATGAGCAGACATAATTCAATATATTTGTTTCCTGCCATCAAGTAAAAGCATTAAACAGGATTCAGCTTCATTTAACCCATCATGAAAACATGACATGAAGCTACAAAGGCTTTGCTGACAAGATGCCTCTAGGATAGCATAAGGAACTCATATTTATATTACTAAAAGAAAAGTGGAAACTGACATAAATCATTACTTCCAACCAGAACTGCCACACTCAGACAGTTCATGTACTTAGTCTATTCTGGAAGAAATCCATCTGTGTGTCTGCGTGAGTAAGTTTGAACTTTAGCCCTTGAGCGGTTTAACTATTCTGGCCAAATTTATCTTAATCTAGTGCATTTAACATCTAGGTGCTCTGATGCCTTTCATACTTTCATTTTTAGAACACATTTAGCTCAGACATCTGTGTAGTTTAGATTTTTTTCAGTATTTGTCTAAACCAGGAAATACTCAGTGGGCTAACATGTTACCGTTATTGGTTTTATTAACACAATCATATCTGTACACATTTGTTTTAATTGAAAACTAAAACAATGAAGCCAGAAAAAGGAAAGTTACAGATAATGATCCCAAATCCACAACAAAATAAAAATGGTTCTTGCTGCAGAAGCTCAAACTTTCTTTCAGGTTTTATACATTTGTTTAAACTTGCAAAATAAATTGTAATAAGATTCTTACACTTGTTACAGCAGAGCATACATCTTCCTGGATATTATTTTTTCTGCATTTAAGGCAAGGATTGAGTAGTGCACACAACAAAACTGAAAAATTACATTTTTTCAATGAGTTCTGAAAAATTGTAAAAGTTACTTCCTGTAGCTGATTGAAACATCCTTATTTTACTCCACAAAATGTTCACCTTAGCTGTCTGCTGGTAGCCATTTCACCTATAGTCACAGTGCCACATATTTATTGTTTATTTAACCCTTTGAGATCACAAATCTCTTTTTCAAGAGAGGCCAGGTCCTCAAAGCAGCCTAACATGCATATTTTTGGACTGTGGGAGTAAACCAGAGTAAATCTGTGAAAACAAGAAATCATGCAAACTCCACACAAAAAGAGCCCAGACCCAAACCAGGGTTCAAACCCAGGACATGCTTGCTGTGAGGCAACAAAGCTAACTACTAAGATGTTGCTTGTATTAGGGATGAGTAAGGACTAGGTTAAAATTGAGCGTTTATTTCCAAACTAACACTAAACACTTAAGTTTATACGGATTTCACATCTGAAAGAATGATTGATAGTCTGAGACCTTGAAATAGCCACTCGCATTATTTTGAAGGTTATGTAGTTGTACTGAAATCTTTAAGTCTTCAGGCACACACCTTTAAGATCTGATTTTCTGGGCAACAAAATTTGTACTTTTATATTGTGCTGCATCAATCATCCAAACATTGTCAGTTCTAGTAAACTTCAACTTAAACAGAAAAAAAAAATATATATATATAAAACCTTTAAGAAGATGAATACTTTGCTACTGTCACCAATGCCTGAGGAAGTGAAACATTATTTGTATTTGCAAATACCCACAACATATGTAATATGTTAACTATGCATAAATAAGTTTACTTTGAAGTGTTAGCAACTGTGTGAAGAAACACTGCTACACATAATTATATTTTTGGGTTCATACATGTTTATTGCACTCAGGTTATCAACAACACAAACATGAACTTTGAGTACAGGGAAATGGCTTATTGTATTGAACACATTAAAAAAAAACACAGTTTCCAAAGAACTTTACTTGAAGGACACTGGAGTTTGGTTCAATAATTTAAATGCACCTGAACAAACCAGTGGTATAAAATAAAAACTCTATGCAGGAAGTGTTCAATGAATTACAGTTGATTCACTCAAAAACTCACCACACAGACACAAGGACACTTGACTTTACTTGAAGTTTATGCATGTTTTCTTTGATATTCTTTGAATATTCTCTTTTGAGTACTACTTCTAGTGATCACTAAAGAAATGATTTTTATTACGGTAAGGATGACATGCACTTAAAGCAGGACTAAATAAATAATGTAATTTCAGGATAATGTTGGGACAAACTAAACCTGATACATAAAACTGTATCACACCACCCCCCATTTTATTTATTTATTTTTCCTTTTTTTCCATTTTATTATTAAATATGTATATTTTAGGTTGGTTTACACTATACACACATATATGTATGTGTGTGGACAGGTTTTTCCTACAACGTGGGGACAATTCCCCTCAAAAAGCAGCCTTGTGTGGACCGAAGTGACTCGTGGGTCCAAATGCAAATTGGGGTGGGGGTGGGGGGTGGGTAGGTTTAGGACCAAGGTTTAGGTTAGTTTTAGGGTCAGGTAAGTACCTGTGAGGTTACTTTTAGGGTAAATGGTCAGGGTTAGGCTATAAAGTCTAAAAAAATGAATGGAAGTCAATGGAAGGTCCCCATAGGGTTCAAGAACAAATGTGTGTGTGTGTGTGTGTGTGTGTGTGTGTGTGTGTGTGTGTGTGTGTGTGTGTGTAAAAAACTACAGTTGAATATCAGCAGTACAAAATGAATTTATTTTAATAGCTGTGAATAAATTTGTATGCAATATGCTCAGATGAACAAGCCTAGAATGGAAGACTGTTTTCACAGACATAATGTGACGTGATCTTCAATCTTCATTTCAGCCACTGATGAAGTAATTATATTGTGCCTCTTTGCAATGCAAAATCCCAAATATTGCATTGATATTTTTAAGAAAATATTGACAGAACTGTTTTACTGAACAATGACATAAACACACGAAGACCAACGTGTGCGACTTGCTTGGTTCTCTGTTGCAGTTAAACACTGGTTTTGTGTAATGCTCCAGTTTTCTCTTGTTATCGTTGCAGTGTTCCTAACACTCAGGTCAGCATTCTGCAGCATGGGGACACAATGTCATAGAGCTCCTTGCCTAGAACAGTTTGTAAACATTAACTCGGTGTACATAGCCAACACACCGAGGTGAGTTATTATGTTAATTCAGATAAAATCAGGGATTCTTGTAACAAATCAAACCAGTAAAAATATGTGAGCTCAACTAAAATTTAAGCTCCAAATTCTGCTGTTTTCTCCAGTAGCATATCACTCTAAATGTTCTTGTCAGTTCAGTAATTTGAAGAATATAAGCATGTCTTTAAAATAAAATTATCAACGATGCTTTTTGTATGAGATGCAACAACAATGCACCCCAGCAGGAAGTGAAACAGTTTTTATGGCACTGAAAATATAAATTTGAACTTAAGTTACTTCCAGTTTCCAAGTATGTCCTCCAGCTGCAGTCTAACACTGAATGCAGTCTGTGTGATGGAAGTCATTAATCTATCCTCCTTCTGGAAGAGCAAAACATAACAAAATTTTGGATCATTTTACAATACAGCTGAACATAAATTGTCAAGAAACATAGATTTATCGGAAATGTTAAAACTTGTATTTGTTTGTAAAGGATATATTCTTTACAAAATGCACAAGTAAAGACTGCTGTGATAAATTGCAAGCTTGTTGATCATACAGACAACAAACCAAAGAGAATGAAGTCTGAAACTAAAGTGGAGAAATAAAAAAGGGAGGTAGACATTAAAGTAGGTCAAACAGTTGTAAAGACCATCGGTAATGGTGTTACTCAAGCTAAACGTTTGTTTTAGATTGTTTTATTTGTATTTTTTTTCCACATTGTGGCAATAAGCTTTCAGTAGAGTTGATTTAAAAGAAACATATATTTGAACACATTATCAAATAAAAATAAAATACCACTTAAGTGGTATAAACCAAACTACACTAAAAGAAAATCTATTTAGGAATATAAATATAAATCCCATAAACCCCTTTAAATAGTCACTTGTTTCTTCCCTAACACATCAGGTTACAATATAGCATTTCAATATTCTTGTCTTTGTTAGTTTATATTCTACATTTAATGTCTCCTGACCATTACAGAAGGCTAATTAATGAAAACTGGTTGTTTCCTGACATTAGTTACATGTTAAGTAAACTTTAAAGCCACCAGCCATATTCAGCAGCATTAATGTTAGTGTGCTACTGAAACCCAATGAGTGGGGCACAGTGATGTGTCAAGAATAAAGTGCTTCAAAGGCCAAACACCTTGCATTGTTTTATTTCAAATGCAAATGTAGGTTTATTTTCAGCCCCTCTTCCAAATTTTATCTGGTGCAAAGCGGAGACGAATTAGGGTAAGTCGCACATCACACACGCACTAAAGCTAAAAGAGGAATACAACAGCCAATAACAGAAGAATGGATATCATGTCTGCTTTGTGCTTCATACGCTTTGACAGCAATGGCTTCTTTTGTTTGGTCTAAAGGGGCAGCTTGCTTAGGAAAAATGATCTTAAATGTAACGCAATAAAAACCAGGGTGAGAACTGTCTATGATTTAGCTACTCTAAAGTGACAACAGTAAAGTCTTCCTTTCTCCAAAACTTTCACACAGATCAACCTAAACACACCTAATGAACTTCAAAGGTTCACTGGACATAAGACAGGACAGTACGTCTAGGAAGTGGAAGAATGCCTCTTGTGAATGTAGGTGTACACTTTGACACAGTGGTCCCAACAATCCAGCACCAGTAACTGTCCTTTCTGAGTGGCGACCACTCCTACAGGGCAGGTTAGGCCTTCTTGGATTAAAATATTAAATCCACCTTCTTTGGGAAACTGGAGGATTTCTTTCCTACCGCTGTCTGTAACTAGCAGGTCTCCATTAAAATCCACACACATGCCAGTGATGCAGCGGAAGTCTTCCGTCTCTGAGAAGAAATGGCTGAACTGTTTGCCAAGCTGGCCGTCAGTGCCCACTGAACCAATGGAGAAGCCACCCTCCAGGTGGGCCTCATTCTGTTGCTTTTCAAAGTTAAGAGCCAGGCCCTGGGTGAAATACACAGTTCCTGCTGCATCGCATGTTACAAACTTTGGTCGTACAGCGGAGCACAATCGGTTGTAGCTGACAATGCCCACATTGCGATCCACTGCAAGACACCACAGCTTGCCCCCTTCCACATCCGACACTACAAACTGGCCTGACGGCATGGCTGTAATTCCCCAGGGTTTAATTAGCTGGTTTTTGTGGCAAGCTACATAGTGTCCATCCATGGTGTAGACTTTAACTGAATTATCATAGTTGTCAGTCACACCAATCAGGCCTTGTGGAGTCACAGCAACTGATAAAGGGATTAAGTTAGGCAGGTCAGCCCCAAAGAAGCTAAGGACAAAGTTGTCAATGCTGGCATTGCGTCGGATTTCACGTGGGAGACCTTTACGATTAAATATCTGGACACGGCAGTTTCCACGATCAGCTACCAGTAACTCACCTTGATGTGTTACACAGATGCTGACTGGTAAATTAAACATGCCAGGAAGTGCACCCTTACAGCCCATCTTCTTCACAAATTGGCAGACTGGTGGCCCTGAACTTGCCCCAGCAGTTGATTCACATCCTGCATCCAAAGACTTTGATTTAAAACTGCCTGGTGACCCGCATGCAGCGTCCTCTAATGCTGAAACCATGTCAATGTCTCTGTAAAGATCGTCTGAAACTCTCACAGCACCTCCTGTAGCACCTCCTGGCCCTGCTACACCCACTGAATCACCCTTAAATGTATTTTCTAACCCCACCTTCTCATCCTCTGTGTTGACAGTGTAAGTGTTTGTTGTCAAATGGCCCACTTCTAAAGGTTTAGAGTGTTCCATTCTGACCAGCGCTGGCTCTTGCAATTGAAATTGTGTAGACAAACTGCTCCTCAAATCCAGCTCTTCATCATCACTTCCTGCACCATCATCTTTTAGCAAGGCAATATCACTTTGCCTTACTCGCACAGTCAGGTAGTCGCAGCGCGACACCACTTTTACTTCCGCAAGATTAAGAAGGTAGGTCTGCTCCTCTAGGACCTGTGCATTCAGTTTTTCCACTTCTCCCAAAGAGGCTGCAAAAATCTTTCTAGATCTGCTGAGCTCCTCTTGAAGCTGTAGCTCAGCTGCAGTGTACTCCTGTTGAACCGCACGGTACTTTTGTCTCAAGGACTTGGAAATGTTTTCAATTGCTGTCTTTTTCTTCTGAATTTCTCCCATGACATCACGGAGAGTACCCAGTTTGCCACCCAGTTCTTTACGCCGCTGCTCAGCTGCCACCTTAATCGGCTGAACCAAATGCCCTTGCTGCAGATGGCCCTCCCCCTTACAGACTTCACAGAGAACCGTGGAACAATCGTGACAGTACTGTCTTGGTAGGCGATTGCAGCAGGACTTGCACATTAGCGCAGCAGTGGCAGCACTGCAGGACAAAGTGCAATCTATAATCTTGAGCACAGTGAGATTATCTGCCAGCTGAGAGATGCTGCTCATTCGAGATACCTTACTGCAGAAGGGGCAGCGGACACCGTTGATAGTATTTGCCAACAGTTTCTCTAGACAGAGTCGACACACCGTGTGGCCACACTGCAGGAGTTTGGGTCTCAGTTGCTCATGATTGTAGGTCTCCAAACAGATGGGGCATTCAAGGACCTCCCTCATTAGATCTGGGTCCAGTGGGGAGCATGATGCAGCCATGATGTCCTTTTCCTTTGGTGAGGAGAAGAAGATAAAGTTATCATTTTCTCTGTGGCTATTCTGTAACAAGTACTTGGCATTGTAAAATATGTCTTAACTACAAAGTACAGATAAGAATGAAAGAATAATAATAATGTACAGTTTGTTCAGTTTTAAACTCAAAAGTATTACATTGTTTAAATGGTCAAGCATTAAAATATAGTTTAATAAAGCTATTTAAGCATTACCAAAAACATATTTGAAGTATCAGATGATATAATGTATATATAAAGCAATATGTTTACCTAAATTACTGCTGACATAGTGTTTTGTAAAAGCAGGGGAATTATAATACCACTTTTTAGTTTGTAAAGCAAACAAAACTGTCACAAGTCAGCTAATAATCCAAAAACGCAGCTACAAATTTTAGGCTGACTGACTCATCAAAACAATGGTTGTATTCATCATTATATTTTAAAGGCAGCCAGTTTTGTAGAAACTAAAGCAATATAGTAAAGTCAATAACATGTACAAAAATATCATATTATACATAACTAAAGAAAGATACTATAATAAAAGCTTTACAACAGCTAAAATCTAATTTTAGTAGATTTTTGTTTACAGTTTATTTCCAGAGTTGTTATTCCCAGCATGGTCTACTGGAGGAAGAGGAGATTGGTGCAAAAATGTTACAAAACTGAAAATAACAACTGGTATAATTGTTGGAGAATAATAAAACAGGCGAAATGATGAATCCGATTCGGCTAATTTGTAAGCTAATATTAGGATATGCAACGATGCAAACATGATAGGTTTAGTAACATCCCATCCATGTTTTACTGTTGGCCTAACAAATGGCTGACATTACCGTCCTGATTTCCAAAGGACAAGTAAATAAAAAAAAAAAAAAAGCCGCTTCACAGGACAACAAATGTGTTGACATCGGGTGTGTTGGTGGTTCAACGCGACGCGACAGTCAGTCTTTTAACAACCTCACAGGTAGATAATGAAGCCGTGAACGAAATGCTCGGCAGACAGCACATTACTATTCAGTTCTGTGAGTATTTCGGCTCTTTAACCTTACCTTTCCTTCAGCGTTCGCTGGCTGAGAATACACAGCGGGTGTGCAGACTTTCAGCTACAGCTGCTGAAAGTGAAGACCTGCAGTGTTGACGAGTGCCCTACGCAGAGTCGTGAGTTACGGAGGCACGTAGCGTCACGTAACGTTCTTATTCTGCTGCTTATATTCGGGGTTGTAACCAACCTTAACATGCATTACCGCCACCTAATGGACTTGGATCTTGAACCGTAGAAAAACTAAAGAAATCAAATAATATAATATATATGTATATGTGTATGTGTGTATATGTATACATAATATATATCAAATAATAATAAACTTGTCTTAAAAATAAAACAGTGAACAACATTTAACAAACAAATTATTTAAAATAGTCAGTGTATTATTAGCTGCATTCTAGATGGTCTATCTATTACAATTTTGCAGTATTCAGACTATAGTTATTGGTTTATAAATTGTATGGTAATGGTAATCTTTACATTTACCTTACATGCCTTTTTTATTTCTCTGTAGCTGAGGTATAAGCAGCCTTCCATGAGGTATGCTGCCTTTCTAGATTTTATATTTTGAAAAGCTGGGAAAATTGTCAGAAACTATTACATTGTCATGTATGTGTCCATGTAGTGCTAAAATTATTTCTATAAGTTCTTTAATGTAAAGTTCTAAAATGATTAAGCAACCGCCTCAGCTTGCTGCATGCATTTTACTCAACTATAAGCATAATTTGAACGATGTCTAAAATTCATCAACACTAAGGGCAAGCAGATTAGGCAATATTTAGGCCTACAGAGCTGACTGCATACTATTTAACTTAATTAGTCAAAATGTATCTGAGAAAGTTGATCAGTAGCATCCACCCTATACATCAACAAAGGCCAGTAATTACAGAGGACAGCCACTAGATGTCAGGATAGGTCTCCTATAGTTTGTGCAGTGTCACTTCAGACACAGTTATATGTTTCTGTAGACCAGGAACATCTAGGATTACTTACTGTCTTTTTGAGGACAAAGAAGATTGAATCGTGCAATCCACATAACTGTCTAGTGCAGAGATCTTCAACCTTTATAGTGAAAACAGTCATATCTGCTCATTATCTCACTAAATACAATTTTTTCAGAGCCAAAAAATGTTCTAGAAATTTGGAAAAAAAGAACATAAGGTCATTGAGTGTTATATAAATAATATATTGTTAAGATATTATGAAGTTGAAAATTCTTAATAAATTGTTCAAATAATTGAACTTTATAGTAGAATAATATATTATAGAGATTGTTCGATACTTATATTTAATAAAATAATTAATTTTAGGAAAGGTATGTATCATTTTTAATTTAAATATATATGAAGTTTTAATTAAAGGGAACATTTTACTTAATGATTTGCCATATTTTTGCTAAAATCCTTTTTTATTTACTCATTTTATCCTAATTTGTAATGGGCTGTTTTTTCCTCTTAATAACTTTTTTCCCAAATATACTAAAAAATGTTTCATTTCTTTTTTTTCTGCCCATTCATGTTGGAGTTTTTTGCAGGTGCTTCAGCTTCCACCTACAAGATTCTAATTCTAACAATTCTAATTTCATTTTAGGTGTGAGTTTGTGGGTTCATGGTTGGTGTAGGGCTGGGCAATATTGGCAAAAAAATAATCTCGATTAATTGTGGTATTTAACCGATAACGATTAATTTGATAATTAATCCCCTGGAGTCCCTGGACACCCTAATGTCCTAGTCACATGACCAATTTAGCGGGAAAGATTTGCTCTTTGTAAAAATCTGTTCCAAATTGTGTCAAAATTACAGACTTCAGGCTATACATCTAATTTTAAATTGTGTTGATAGATAAATAAATTACAAAACTTTTTTTAAAATGTTTGTCATATTTGAAGCGGAGAGGAGCACTGAGCGGACTCTGCATGGTGACATTAATCGTATTAATCGTCAAGTGCCAAAAAATAATCAGTTAATGTTTTTCTGACGATTAATTGCACACGCATACTGCATATACTTACATCTCTCGCTCATTAACTGCCGGTGATTTCTCCAGCCACTTTATAATCCTGAAAAGACAAAACAGAAACAGTAAATGAGTGAGAGAGAAGACATGTCCATCTTTTCTTCTTTTGTTTATCCAAGTGTAGGCTGAGCTGAGACTCCATAAAAGTTTTCCTCTTCTAGCTTCCTCCTTCAAGGGGACACTGAGATGTTCTTAAGCCACGAGATGCAATCTGTCCTCTGAGTCCTAAAGGCCTCCTCAATCTGAGAGATACCTAAAATACATTTAAACTGCATTCACTACAGGTATTTAAACCACCTGGCCACATGGACTGACTGGTAGATTTGTAGCTTTACCTCTGTTCTTTCTGCACCACAACGGACCAGTATAGCATCTGCCTCTCTGGAATTGTTGCCCCATTTCACCTCTTAACCTCCCACTCCAGCCTGCTCTGACTTGTTAACAGGACCCTGAAATATAATTTAAGGGCTGCGCTACAGTCCTGGCATGACTGGTTCTGGTAAAGGCATAAACCTGGCTCAGATCGGAGCTCTGTTGTTGATTGAGGCATAGACTTTGGCAGGCATTAGGTCTGTGTCTGTAACTGTGGCACAGGAACTGACATGGAAGCCTTCCTTCACTTGGAGTCTCTGTTTTGTATACCAGAAAGCAATGAGGTAGGAGAGGCCAGGAAGGCTTTGAGGGCTGCAGATTAGTGAATTACTTCCCACATTTTATCATGCGCTTGCTCCACCTCATCCAGCAGCCCCACTGTCCCAGGTGACTCAATAATCCTTGTGAACAAACTCTGTATTTAAGTCTTCATCAGCTCACAAATTTTACCCGAGTCCAGAGGGTACAGCCAAACAGTATTATTGAAAGTCTTTACTGCCACATGTACCTCCATAAACTCCCCGGGAGCTAATAAATCTGCTGGCTTTGGCTGGTCAGATCTTTTTTTCTCAAAGGGTGGTGAGGAAAAAAAGACCCAAATTCAGGCTGACAGTCAGGAGCCAGGAAGGTGAGGTATCAAATAAACTTTTATTCAAATAAAACAAACCGAAGGCGCTCTGAGGCAGGAATTCAGAAGCAAGGGTTCAGTGCGGAATAAAACAGAAACTAGATTTGACATGGTGATGAACTGTGCGAGAGGAAACAACAGCATATTTCTCTCATAGCAAACAAAAGGAACTAGGATGTGTTTATGCTCGGCAAGGATAATAACTGATACAAAGCAGGTGAAATAATATACAAATTCAAACCAGGTGTGGAGTGAGAGCTGAAAGCAAAACAAGGGAACAGGCTCTGGAAATATAAAAAAGATACAAAATGGGAAACTTAAACGAAAATTTAAAAAAAGTCGAATGAACATAAAATGATCTTAACAAAACACCAATGTGAAATAGAAGATGACATAAAACCAAAACACTAAGCAAAATGATATAGTTGTAACTCAAAAATGAAATTGATGTAGAAATTAAATTTAAATCCATAAAACAGGACACAGCTGAAGACTTGGTCAAGTTATGTGGCACTTTATTTGTGAATAAAGGTATCTTTAACACAAAGCAAGCTAAAAATTAAAGACAATAGGTTTGAAGTAAACTATGTTTACAGATGATTGGTTTTGGTGTTTTTTTAATTATTAATATTTTCATCCTCTCCCCTCATTTCCCTCTTCCTCTTCTGCTTAACCTTCCAGAGGCGACTGAACAGGGAGTTGGTGTCGGAGGGCGACGGGAGCTAAAGTCAGTTCCTTTCATCAGCTACTTGTTGGCTCTGCAGAAAAGCCAGCTGTTAGCCGACGACATCGTGAACGGAGTGGAGATCCGCTGCAAGGAAAACGGAAGCTGTCCTTCTGGCTGCCACCTGTGCCATCACCAGAGCACGGCGGGAGGAGGGGCGGGCAGAGGCCGCAGCGGTAACAACCGGAGCGGAGAGCAGCCCTCCCCCATCCCCGCCCTGCTTGAAGTCAGCCGGGTCGTGCCCCTTTACAACCTGATCCAAGACAACGTCACCAAAGAGGTGAGAAAGTGGGAATCGAAGTGTGTGTCTAAGTGTGCAAATGTACGCTTGCAGATGCAAATAAACAAATAAAAACTAACCCAAAATCCAGGATATCTTATTTTATTATTATATTTATTTATTTATTCAAGCACAAATAGTTATAAAGGTCGGAAATTAAATCTGAAATCTATTTCACTTTTAGTGAGCTGACGTGTCGTGTTTGATGTGTGTGTGCTGTGGTGGTGGTGGTGTGTGTGCGGGGGGGGATTCTATGAATTTTGCAACTAAACGTTGGTCTAGGAAAACAAAAAAATGCTGAGCCACTAACCCAATCTTGTTTTATGTCTTATCAAAAGGTGTCCGTTGACTGTTTAGCATGTTTTGCTTAATATGCAGTCTCATGCCACAAGATGATGTCGTAATCCTTTCCAACTGTACTATTTTTTTGTGCTGTGAAGCATTCATCTGCTGCTTTAACAATTCACCTCTAGATGGCACAAGTTGGTTGGCTTTGACTAAAGGAAATGAGTACAGTAATTCAGAAGGCATAAAAAGGATGACATCATGGTTTTCTCCTGTGAGGAACTCAGTGTGTATATGACTGGGTATGTGGGGGGGGGGGGGCAATAAATGTATTGCGTATATTTACTGTATAAATATATACAGTATATAGGGGGGGAATAACACAAGAGTAGATCCACCTAGAGCTGACACTAAGCAATATTAGAAGTATGTGTGAAAAGGAGGTGTCACACAATGATAATGCCCCATGCTATAAAAACGCAAATTCGAACATAGCAATTTCCCAGAACGAAAACCACTATTTAACACAGTGGCAGACATCCAAGACAGAGTCTCAGGTACGAAGAGCTGGACTGGACCAGGGCCTGACATGATCGACGTCTACTGGCTAAAGAAACTGACTGCTTTCCATCACAACTGAATGAGCTCAATGCTGATCTTGAAAGACCCCAGAAAGGGGCAGTTTCATTCAACTTCATGGCAAAATATACCTCTGAACAACATAGTATCACCTGAGTAATATCTATGTCAGGCACAGAGGAGACTTAGCACCTAAACTAGAGGATCCAAGCACCAGCTACTGTTGGAAAGACCAGTAGCTCCAGACTGTGAGATCAGCATGCACTTGTGTACATGCATCTCTGTTTAAACAAACCTGCTCAGCTAAATACAATACAGCCTAATGGCACCATACTGTGTTTGTGATTCATTCTGAATGAGACTTTTTTTCCTTTCAGTGAAAGTTAATCATATCAAATTTGTTTTCCAGAAGCTAATTTCAGAAGAGGTTCTGGCTTCATTTGACATTTAGTTGACGACATTTTGCCTGATTTTTTGTTTGTCTTCTAACCGAACGTCTGGCGTATCTGTTATCTCCTTGTGTCGAATGTTAACGCAGTGACGCACGCCCAACACTTATACAGCATCCTTTCAACCGTTTCTAATTACTGCACCGTCATTTACGTACATGTAGTATAGATAAAAACACAGCTTTATCAACTGTACATGCCTTTCATAATAAGTACTTTATTCCTACAGAAGAGGAGGTGTGATCTGACACCCCGTAATTGACCCTGTCAATGTGAGAAAGTTCAAAATGTCCTCTTTCCCGCTCTTTCAGTTGCTTTTTCTCTCTTCCCTAAACTAACCATGACTTTCTGGGCACTGATAAGAGGATGTATGAGAAGAAGGAAAGGGTTTAGACTGCAGTGGACTATTCTGGCAAGCCCTTCTGAGGTAGCTTGAGGCAGGATTATTAGCTTCTTATTGATGTCATCAACCTCTGGGGAGGGCAGGAAGTCCATCACTTTGCTCTTCTTTTTGCTTGCTTTTCTCTTTTTTTTTTCTTGGCCACAGCTGCTGCTGATCTGAATGGCACATACATATATTGCATTACAGACGGGCAGCAACCTGTCCATTCGCAATCACTCCATCTCTCTGTCTTTTATGTGTGCATCAGTCTCACACACACAATTGTGCTTGAGACGATCTTTTCTACTTGGCTGGGCATATGGGGAAAGACATCTAACATGTAGCAAAAGCTCTTTCAGAAATGAGGTCCTTTTTTTTCTTTTACCCTAAATCCATAGAAGCAATCAGATAGAAGCTTGGTAGTCCAGTTCATGATTAGGTTGACTGAAATTGTTTCTGTGTGTATAGCTATTTGGATACATGTCTCTGTACATGCCATTTTCTAGCTTCAGTAGACATGTCACTTTTTCTTTGGCTTTCCCCTTCTCTGCCACTGGCCTCTCTCAGTGACCTCACCCTGGCTGCCTGACTGTTTGACAGAACATGTCATGTTCTCTTCGTATATAGCTTATGTTAAGCCAAGAGGGATTTGGTCACAATAGGACTTTGCCATTTTTGAGTAAATTCCTCAACTTGAAACAAAAAGAAACTGAATTAAACATTAGGAATACCTTTGTGTGAGCCTTTCTTTTCAGAATGTTTTGTTTTGACTTCATGTGTAGATCCAAAGGCCCACAAAAGAAAACGGATTATAGTTTTGTGTATATTTGCAATAGTAATATTACCAAATCATACATTAATAATAAAAAAGTTAAAATAATTCCGTTCACCTTTATTGATTTTGTGTGTTTTATTCTATCCCAAAGTTTTAGCAAATAACAAATAGGTACCTACTGTTTTGTTCGCTTTAAAATTTGACACATTTAAATACTGGATAATGAATATTCTGTAGTTACAGTAATGTCTTAATAGTATTTTATGCCCAGAAATTCAAATATGAATCCAAATTACTTTTGGAAAAGTAATTTTGACTTCACAGGTCATTTTGTTGTCTGACCTTGCTTGGTTTAAACTTGGACCAGAGTTTGACTGGTACCGATTGTATAATTAAATTGGTCTTGAGAAAGCGAGACCTGATTGGTCCAGGTAAATACACACATGCACACATGAACCTTTTGATGCCAGGGGAAAATTTCTCAATCCATACATTAATAAGTTTGCGCCTGTGGTGCTTGCCATTTTGTCTGAGTCCTGTGGTGTAGTGACTGAATTATGGCAAACATTTTGAACAAATTAGTTCTCAGTCTAATGGGTCAGAATGCTCTATGCCACTGTTTCCACCAGTACTGCAGCCGTTCACAACAGCTATGTCACCAACAGTGAGACAGATAAAAGCTGGTAAGTTCAAAGGATAAGAATGATAGCAAGTGTAAAGTTGGCATGAGGAGCAAGATATTTTCAGCTTTGTCATTATGTGAGACAAAAAGTACTGGACCACTTACTACCCAATGTTTAGCCATACACAAATTAGACTGAATCACCATATGCATTATTTAAAAAAAAACACTTTATTTAGGGACTAAATAAACAGTGTCTCAAAACAAACCTTTTCACAATGTTACTAAATCAGCATGACTTATTTAAAAGTTTTTTTTTGTCAAAGGACCTACCAGCATATTGGCCTTATCAGGTCTGAGCAGGGGACACAGCAGGCTTGCAGACTTTCCTGTGGTTCTGAAGACCCAATCTAAAGGTGTGCTAACGGCACACACAGAGGGCAAAGCAGGTGTTGTTACATTCCCACCAGGGGATGGGATCATCATCTTGGATTGCACGTTTTCTACAATAACCAATAAGCTTTACTTATTTGACAATAAGTGTTGCAGCCCCCATACCCACACCCATTTTTTATTGTGAGAGTCTGCCAAACATTAACTTTTATTTGTCTTATTAGATTATTATTTTACATATATATATTAATATTATATCTAGACTCTTTTTAATTTTTTGAGCAATAATGTCATTTATTCAAGGAAGAAGACTACAATCAGTTTATGTTGCTGGACAGTTCACATGAATTTAGAATTATGTCAGAGTTGTGTTACAAAATAAATAAATAAATAAATAAAAAAGCAACCTTACATGATGTTAGAGTGTTTTCATGTAGCACATCAATCTCCTGTCAACCTCTGGATGAACCAAACCTCAAGCTGCCCTTTGCTTTCCATTTCCTGGAAGTGCTACCTCTGATAAGGTTCCTAGAAGCAGCCCATTGGTTCCTTTTTAACACCATTACCCTTGAATGATTGGAAAAGTCACATAAATGCAATGATGTGCGCATGCACACACGCACACACACACACACGATTTGCTGTGTGTTCTAACTTAGACTCTATTCACCACTGGTGATTATCTTATAAATCAATACTGTGGGCCAGCTGGCCAGTGTTTTTGTGTATTAGCCTCTGAATACAGACAGTAATTTGGTCAGCATAGACTAGACAAACAAATTAATACATTAAGGAGGTCACAATGGCCTCACTTGCCTTCTTGTAAGTCCCGACACGGTTCTTCGAAAGTGAAAGGTTTGCATGGTGTTTTGGTGCCATTGAGTCTAATGGTAATGAATGACGTCAAGATTCAAAATTTGTGTGGCCGGAATTGCTGCTAGTAACAGGACTTGTTTATTAGTGGTGGTTTGTAAATAAAGCTGAGAGATTATTCTTAAGCTCAGTTTGTTCACGAATGGTAAGTTCACTGGAGATGAGTTGTGAATCATTTGTGAAATAACCCTTGTGTCATTCATGACAACACTGGCATCTCCAGTTCCTGAAAGCAAATCTCTCATCTCTGCACATCAACCATTTTCCACTGTCACAATTAAGGCTCTGATAGATTTCTGCTTGTCAAAATCTTGGTATTCTTATACAAGCATAGTTAATTAGATCTGTTTCCTGCTATTGCGGAGTCAGCATAGAATGTGTAATAAGATATGGATCTATAAGAAGCTGGAATGTTCTGGAAAATAGATGTTCTATAGCACATGTCAAACTCAAGGGCAACAGGCCAAATGTGGCCCACAGGTCACCCCCCCCCCTTTTTTTTTTTACTTAACATGAAAATTGTTTCTTATAGCAATGGTAAACTTTCAATTTTTGATTAAATGCGACAAAAAAACATTTAAAATGTGAAAGATGATAACAATTGTCCTGCCCCTGAGCTGTTGCATTTAAGTAACTGGGCTGTCTGAAAATAAGCTACTTTAAAGTCAGCATCCACCATAAATTAAATCTGCCATACTAACTACTCACTAGAAACTCATCAGTGAGTAAAACTTTTATTTTTAATAGTTTTTCTGTATTTATTTCAGATTTAGTCAGTCATACATTTAGTTCTTATAAAAGAGGAAACGTTAAAACGCTGTTTAGTCAAAGTTAAACATGAAATGTCAAAGTTCATTACAACTGGCCCTTCGAGGGCCACCATAACACTCATGTGGCCCTCAGTAAAAATGAGTTTGACACCCCTGTTCTATAGGGATATTCCAATCCATTTTTTTTGTTCCTGATACAGAGTCACATAAAATTAGGGAATGTCTCAGTCCAATACTAATACTATTTTCTATTTCAGTGCATACTGGTTTTAAAAAAGAAATACTGCACCTTATTTTAAAGTAAAATTGCTTTAAAACTTAGTGGAAATATGCTACATGAACAGATTTTTATTGAATAAAGCCACTATGAAGGTCTTCCATGATGTCAGTTCTGGAACAACACACACAGAGGCAGCATGCTTGATTCATTCATACTTACAGTAAAATCTGTTAATGAAACACATTCTTAAGGGATTGTGGTTGTTTTATTATTTGCCCTGGAACAGAAACATTGAAAAAAAAATCTGACAGCTTATTGCTGAAAATGACTGTTCTGTTTTGCAAACAGGAGCTTTAAATTGTTTCCTAAATGCAGAAATGTGTCAAAGCTATTCATTTAAAATATGTTGCACTTACAAATTAGAGTAATTTGACTTACAGTATGCTTTAGATTATAACTGGTGTGTAACTGTCAAAAGTTAACATTTGTTTTATCTAAGCTGCTTTTATTAGCACTTGGGTGCAATCTCTTTTCATTCTTGTGTCACAAATGTGCCTGAATGCAGACTAGTGTGCTGACACAAGTTCTAAAAAAAATCTTACTTAGTTACTTATTTTCACGAAATTCTGAGACATTTGAACTCTTCTTTACTATGATGGGAAACAGTTTGGTTTTAGTGTGTTGTAGGTCGGATTCCCTTTTTTTTCCCCCTTTCCTGGAGCTTGAGCTATCGGTGCAGCAGGGGGTGTGCTGAGGTTGAAACTGAATGAATGTCTGAGTTTAAATGTTGTTTTTGGAAACAATACAAAAGATCCCTTTAAAAAAATTGAAGTTAACAGAAATTATCAGTTGCACTGGAGACAAAACTGAGACGACAAAGGCAAAAAGATGGACATAAAATGCATACTTAACAAATCAGAAATGTTAAACCTTTTCATCTTTGTTATTCTTAAAGACTTTTATTGTCACTGTAAAAAAATACAACATTTAGTTGTTTTCAGCCTCAGACATTTTTTCACATTAACCTTTTAAAATTTATACAATACTGCTTCTTCTTTTTATTTTTCCTTTCTGTAAATCTTCATATATGTTTTACCCTTACCTCCTGTGCCCCCTGAACCCCACCCCATACACACACACACATACATCAACACACAAAACTCCCCACCTCATTCCCTAAACCACAATTAGATTCCCTGTTTACCCAGTGGAGACTGGCTTGCGTTACTCTTCAAACATAAACATGGTGGTAATCGCTTTGTCTGTTTTTCACATGTGCAGCCAAGCAATCAAGCGCTTATACCCATATGAGGTTTTTCTAAGAAACTGATGGTGGTAAACGCATGGAAGTCCTGTGGTCTTTGTTTCTTTTGCCCTTTGTGTTGGAGGTCATTTTGCATATTTGTCTAGTCGCTGTGCGTGCGTAGACTCAGATTCCAGGATTTTTGTGATGCCTTCATCTGTGGTCTGCTTCCCATTGACAAGAGGTGGCAAGGATCCTGCTGTTGTTGTATTCCGGCAACAGTTAGCCACATGGGTTCAGGCAAGGAGGGAGAAATGTTATCCCCCCCCCCCTCCTTTTTTTTTTGGTTTTCTGTGGAATTATTGTAAATCTTTGTAACCGAGCTTACCTCTATGATTGCTCATTCATTTTCCCACTTCATTTGGAGTGACTTCCTTTGCAGGATATACTTTTTAATGAGTCAACCTTAATTGCAGAGGGATTTTCCCTCTAGTAATGTAGGGGATAGCTTGAAGAGTTTAAGAGCCCCTTTTCACACCTTTGTTTTCTTCTTCATCCTGTTGCTTTTTTTTATTGTCCTATTTTCCATGGTCTCTCCAGCCTCACCATTTTTTCCCCCTCAATCTTTCCTCTGCTGCTCATTTAGGTCACTTGCACTCTTGAGGTACTTTGCCTTGGAGTGAAAGCAAGTGGTATTAGAAGGAGTCAGTTCCCATGAAAGTCTGTTGAGCTTTCTTCACAGCTAACAATGCTGCGTTGTGGAAATATTAACATCAGCTTCTGAGTTCATGCCTTTGCTCTTTCTTTTCCTTTTTTTTGCTCTAAAGTCTGTCTTTTATGTCACAAATACAAGTAGCCTAATCTCAAATGTCACTTGTACAAATCAACACTTTGCAAAAGTCTCCTCCTTGACATTTAGTCTATGAAATGAAGCAACCAACTGGGAGAATCTATCACTGATCCTAATATGTGTGTGCACGCTTTTATTCTACATGAGCATTTCTCTCAAATTTGTATATCTCTTCTTTTTGTTTGCTTTGCTTTCTGGTAGTAAATGTCACGATGTTTTGGGGGGGAAAAAAGAGGGCATTTTCTGCTGTCTGTTGGACGCCTGGTACCCGGTGATAATGTCCCCACATAGTTTGCTGTCTTGTCCTGTTTTTCTGTGACTATGATCAAGCACATCTCCATAGCAGTATGCATGAGGCAGCACTACAGACAAGTTAGAGCATATAAATAACGGAGAGCTCTATTGATCCATAGTGTGACAGAGAGAGCAAGTGTGCTTGCGAACTCTCTCGAAGTCACTCTATATCATGCCTGTGGCTTTAGGGAAAGCCCTGACTGTATATTTTACTGCTTTGACAGTTATATTGGCATTTTGCTGCCTTTTAGAAGATGACTGAGCTTGCTTCCGCCTTTGATTTTTGTTTTTCTTCCACCAGTTAATGAAGTAGCACAAAGAGATGTTAGGAGATGATGTCACCTCTTAATGTCTCACTACCCTCCCCCTCCATCCCCATCGCAGTCAGACCGACAGCGCCGCTAACAGATCTTGCACACAAAGCACATAGACTGAGGGAGGTGAGGAGTGACACTGCTCTCACATCTCAATCATAAAAGTCACAGTGCATCAATGATATCACACTTTAAGCTTGTTGCTGCTGCTGAGACATTCCTGCCTTCCGGTAATTGGGAAAGGTGGGAATTAAAAGGTCACTCTGCATGTAGGAAGGTGTAACATTCACCTTTGTGAAACTGGTTTTAAGGTTTGGCGATTTTGTCCATTTCGTATTTATTGAGTGTAGAGCTTTGTTAGCCATGCTTAATTAAAGGAATTTCTCACAAGAAAGTGTATATGTTTGGTGGAAAATCTGAGAGTGTGGATGACACTGGTGGAAAGGATGAGGGTGAGCCGGATGGTAGATGGTGATGGGGCAAGCGTGGATGGACAGCGAGCACATGTTCTAAGAGATAATTGCATTTCTCTCACCTGTTACCCTTTACAGGCCTTCAAGAGCGCCACAATGAGCTCATACTGGTGTGCCGGAAAGGGCGATGTCATTGATAACTGGTGTCGCTGTGACCTGAGTGCCTTCAGCAAAGATGGTCTGCCCAACTGCAGTCCCCTCAAGCAGCCAATGTAAGTGTGAGGCGACACCATGAAACCTGAGGATTCATTGACAAAAGAGGTTTTTCTCCAAGCTTGTATAGGTTTCCCATGAATACACACAATTCTGTCTCTACTCATTCCTGCAGCACTTTAGAAAGCTGTAGATTCAAGTGCAATCCCTGAAGTCCTAATAGCTGTGAGTTGGCCCTTCCACTCCTCCAAAAGGAACATATTCTCATTTAAGGTGTCCTAATAATAATCTTGAAGTTTCTGAGTCATCGTCTCCAGTGATTGTTGCCATGAGGTGTTCTAAAAGGAAAAAATAGAGTGAAAGCATTTCATTGATGTAATAAAAATGTATAACATAGAGTTTAGGTTAGTAACTCTGTTAGATAAAGCATGGTCTGCATTCAAGCGAAAGTTTCAAAATTCTAATGGAGAAATGCAACAACTTCTTAGTCAATTTAACACTTGTCATGTGTATACCTTGCTACAAATCATTACAGGAAGATGAAATGATGCTGCAGTAGCTCACTTAGTACTGCAGACATATTGCATTTTATCATGTGTACATGATATTTCCAGTCAGCATTTTTTAACCAACAGGACAAAAAGTAAGAATATTGCCTGCTGCATTCCCACATTTTCAGCTACGTATTTTCTGTGCCGATTCTTTAGTTTGCGGCTTGCCCCTTACCTGGAGCCCTCGAGCACAACAGTGGCCCTGGAGTGGATGGATGTGGAGCCTCTAATTGGCTGCAAAGTTTCTGACTACATCATCCAGCACAAACGAGTTGAAGATCCTGCAGAGGCAGAAATCTACACAGGTAATGAAGGTTCGGAATTGAAGGGAACATATTATCGTAAAAAATCCACTTTTTTAGCCATCAAATGCATTTTGTTGTTTACTTGAGGTCTCTAGGAGTGCAGAAAAGTTGAATTAAGTCTCTCCCTGTGCTGCGTAGATTCTGTTTGGATCATATTTTTCAAACTGTTCAGTATTTTCTATTTTCTATGACATTTTGGAATTTTTAGGTCAAATTATTTATGAGGGAATGGTCAAACAACAGGACTTACCAATTACAATTTGGTCATCTTCGATATCCTCTGGCTCTGGGTCAGACTCTGGTTCCAACATGTAAGGCTGGATGGACAAGTCTTCCATTGTTGACATATTTTAATTAATGGGTAGATAAAATGCTTCTGCACTAGATAGCCATAAACCCCTCTATCAAACAAGAATGGGCCGGTCTGGAAGCCAGAGTGGGGCGGGCTGTCAATCATCTCATTTGGATTTGAAGCCTCAAAATGAATTGCTTTGACACACACCTCAGAAAAGGGGTGAAAGAGGGGCTTATGGAGTTACAATGAAGAGGAATTCAGACCAAAGCATTACAGTTCCACTTTATATAGACCCAATTGAATGATTTAAATGTGAAGAAGAATGATTTAAAAGCATGATGTGTCTACTTTAGGCTTGTGTTCATGTCTTAAACATCTCTATATTTTTAATTATTTTATATGTATCGATGGTATTAATTGGTTAGTATGTTTTTATTTGTGAGCAGTCACACTCATTGCATAATTTTGATTCATCTCACAAAAATAAAGTATCTCATGAGCATGAAATTATGAACCATAAACTTTATATCAGAATATTTTAATTGAAATTGATGACTTGATGGTTCATATTGTAGGTAGGTATTGCTTTTACAACAGTGATAAAAAGATGAAGTTGAAACAGAAAGGAAAGCAGAGAAAAATTACCAACAGCAGCATCTGTGTGCATTTGGAGTTGATGAATAAATTCAGAATTTGTGAAGCTAATGTCACTCAGAGCAATTAGTTTTGGATGATTCAGTCTAGATACAGAACAGAAGTCAAACCTTAAATTGAGAGTGAGTCAGAATGAAGTAGGGCAATTTATTAGGCTCTATAAGTGGCACTGACCATTGTGTTTTCAGGTGGAGGAAATGGTCATTGTTGAAATGAGGAGCTGGGGTGAGTCAGAGGAATGAACAAGATCTAATAAAATTGAAGAAATTATGTGCTCTGGACAAAAACTGCTTCCAATCATGGGGAAGTATAGGCAGGCCATCCATCACACCTGGGAGGGATGCTGATGAAGCGTGGGCACCAGTGAGCAAAGAGAGGGCACAGACAGCTAGACACAGGCACGCTGGCAGAGGTGAGGCATGAAGGGGCAGATGGTGAGGGTGACTCACTTTGTGATGTGCCAGTCACCACTCTTCTCAATCTTGTTCTAACAAAGAGAAAGTTTGAAAACAGACTCATTGTTTTCAACTTTTGGTTTTAACTTATTGTCTTTAAACTTCAATGTGTTTTGCTTAGTTTGTAGGCTTAGTTTCAGTATTTAGATATGACTTTTTGCGTGTCGTTTATAGTCCTATCCAGTGCATTTCTGGTGAAAAATAGGTAGTATTTATTTACATGGTATAAAACCCTCAAAGTCAAAACGTAATTTTAATAATAATGGGTGGGATTTTCAAAGTTTTGTGAAAGAACAGCTGCATAAAAAACTGAAAAGATTCTAGTAGAACTCATCATATGAAAGTTTCAAAAGTGTTATTTGTTTCTCTCTTACTTAGATCATTTGTTTTTTTTAGATCTGTGATAACGTTTCAGACAGTCTTTGCAAATTGAACCCAAAAAAGTTGATTTCACTTTTTTTATCCTTTTTTTATTTTAGTTTTTTATTTAACCAATCAAGTCCCATCTCTTTACCAAGGTAGGCAACATATTGTACATGTTTTCGTCTCTGAGAGGAAACTGAAGTACCTTCCTTCTGTGAGGCATCAGTGCTAACCACTGAGCTTTTGTGCTGCTAGTTGCACCATGGTCACCTTCACAAAACAAGAAGATTTCAGAGTAAAATGTTCTCGAAACTTATTATTCCTCGATGTTTTTCTTCTCAGCTTCTTCACTTTAACAGACACAGACACGTAATCAGTTCCTCATTTGGGAGATGCAAGTGAAACCAGTTCTTTAATGTTGGTTCTGGAGAAGCTCCAGTAGAGCAATTTTGTGGATAAATACTTTGCTTGAGGGCATCGTAGTGGTTTTCTGGAAAGCAAGTGCCTCTCTCCCATTTTCACTGTTCATAGTTTCCAAGCCTGCATGATGATTTGAACCAGTTCAATTGCAGTCAAGCCTTCTTCGCTAAACATCTAAAGGTGGGTATGCAAGAAAGTATTATTTGGTAGAATTACAGTAAAACCATAATAATCACTGGGGGAAAAATCATCATCCAAAGCTTAAGGCAGTGAAGATAGTTGGCACTGCGGAGCAATGCAAAGTGTGATTCAAACCTTAATGATGGAAGCTTATGAAAAAAGTAGTGCCAGCCTTCCAAGCAGCTTACTACAAAGTGACTTTTTAGTACAAACAGCAGATCTCATGTATAGCAGTGATAATTCTATCCAGTCTTCCAGTAACATAGAAAAGCATTCTTATAACAGAAGTGTTATTTGTAAATGTTACCAAAAGCAAATAAATACTTGGCATTATTTAGAGACATGACTTTGACCATAACTAATGTCATCGGTAATAATGGAAAACACAGCTTGACAGAGATGGGATTCAGCCAGTGCCTGTATTTGCAGAAGCTGGGGTGCATCCATAGCCATGGAAGTTGACACACTGCTTCAGGCTGGTGTCTGAGAGAGAAATAAGATAGACATCCACATGCAAACACTCAGCCATGCTGAGTATGAGTCACTCTGAGAGCACACACATTCAGCCATGTGCACACTCAAACAGATGGCAAAGACGGGTGTATTCATACACTTGGATGTAGCCTTTATTGCGCTACCAAAGCACTATTTCTATAGTATAATATATATTATTCCAGTGAAAGTATTGGCCACTTAATGATGAAAGGATGTTAGTTCTCAGATATTGCTTCTGTAATTTCAAATCTGAGCTAACTGTGATGCCTGTCAGAAAATACTGGTCTGTGTTTGTAGCCAGCTGTTTACACATATGGCTCATATATAAATGCTTTAAATGTTTTGCATGTTAATTTGAACTTGAATACTTAAGTTCATGTATGGACTTTTTTCATATGACGATCAAGTGACATCCAAATTCCAAAAATTAGACTAAATGCATTTATTCAGTTGATGTTATATGATAGTATGATATCTGAGTTGAATATAATATACCACCCTTTCACCAAGAACTTTTCATTCATACTGTAGCAACTTCCTGCATGAATGGATGCAATTAACTAATTTTGAAATTCTTCACAAGGAACATTTTCTTCTTTTAAACTAAAACTGCTCATGTGAATCTCCCTTGCCTGATATTACAAACTGATTTTACCCCTCTCCTAAAAGCTGGGATACTGTGTTCTTTTCTAGAAGTGTTTTATTCAGTTATTAACCCCACTGTGGGTGGAATTATGATAAGACAACAGCTTTGGCATCTTATGCTGATTCTCATTTTTTAAAAGTGCATTTGTCTCACTTAAAGCCAATTTGAGATTTTGCAGTTTTACTATCACATTTATGACTGCATGTTTTGAACATTCAAGTTAAGTAAAAAAGCTTATTTGTCAACTGGTCTGCACCTGTTGTTGGATGATGGCCTACATGCCTAAATGACAGGTTAAGTAAACCAGGATTTTATTAAATCTGAATTAGTGTGTACTTAGAAGGCATCTGTGACTAAAAAGTCTTATAGACACTTTTCTGTCACACTTTTTAGCCTTTTATGCTTCTGACAGGAAAAACAGGAAACTGCGAGTGAGAATGGTATTATTTAGGAATTTGGTCACAATAATCATATGAAATCACATTTGAGTTGAACTGTGTGTGTATCCGTTTGAATATGAGTATGGAGTATCACTCATTGGAAAGATATGCTATGTGTATAAATACAAAGTGTGTAGTTATTTACCTGTTAATTCAAAAACTGTAATCTGTCCTTCATTCGTACCAAAAATTGTTCATGTAATTCTCCTGTGTTCTAGAAAGCATGTGCTGGGCAATTTCGAAAGCAAACAACACACGCCACAGCTAAATCTCTATCAGTTAATACTATTTACACTGCTCCCCAAGCACTGTTTACAAAATACCTCAGAGCTCACTACCTATCTTTGCCCCTCCTAATTTCTGTCAGTTGATCACATTAGTGATGGATGTGCTTAAAATGAATGATTGCACCAGACTTCACACAGACCTCTAGATGGCACACCAAGGCAGAGGCAGCATTTACAGGAAGCCTGTTAGATAGGCATTGCTTGTGTAGTATTGTAGGGCTCAGCATTTCTCTACAGAAAACCAGCTGTGAAATGTAATGATACATTCACAGCTGATACATATAAAAATGTGCCCAAATAACCAGACTGGAATGTGAAGAAGTAACAGTCATAAAAGCTAGTACTGATCTGATTTCATTTGAATTTTAGCTATTAGAGTGCTATAGATGCACACACGTCAATATAGCACTATTGCTTATTTTTTTTCAAAAGGATGCTGAGCAATTTCTTAATGGAATTGTAACAAATATCAGTCTTTGAGACATCCTTCAGCTCAGTTTTGTTTTTGTCTGTTTAAGCAAAAGAATCATAAGAACTAAAAGAAACGCAAGAGTGTTTCTGAATTCCATCAGTCCATATTACAATCTTTTTAATGTATTGACTTGTTATTTAAATTAAAGTAATGCTAAGGCGGCACTTTTTTATGAATGTGTTTATCAGCTAAAAATGCACTTACCACAACTCATTTAATTATGCTTCTTTCATTTTTTTTAATGTCGGTATGACGTCATCTGATTTTGCAGCATGAAAGTCGGCTGTGGTATGCCAGAGCAAGTTAAATGAAAAGCTTTTACAAAAAGA